AATATTATTTTTATGTAAAGTAATATTAAAAATAATAAATATCTTTTCTTGTGCACCATGACAAAAATTAGAAAACCTCATTTAAATTTTTATTTTTATTAATTTTTTGATACTTAAAAGTTGTGTTAAATTTTAATTAATTTAAAATTAAAATACATCAAATCTTACAAAGATAAATTTTTAGGAATAATGTTTAGGAAAAAGTACTTGTCAGTCTTACCTCCTAAAGATTATAAGTAAAATCATCTTAAAACTTCATCATTTCAATAAATTTTTATTAAAAAAACTAAATCACTTTATTTTTAAAGTATACATTAAGGTGATTTTTATCTTTTTTTTTTCTCTTAATTTTTTTAGAAGTAAGGCGGATAAGCACTAATTCTTAATGTTTATTCACTTACTTCTTAAAAATTAAGAAAAATATTATCTCAAAATTATGTTATCTTAATAAATACATATTAAAATATTAAAATATTTTATTTTTGAAATATAAATTAAAATATTTATTATTATTTTTTCTTAATATTTTAAAAATAAAATGAATAAACATTAAATTATAAATTTTTTTAATACTTTTTTTTTCATAAAATTTAAATTTAAATTTAAAATTTTATTTTAAAGAAACTCTAAAGTCATGAAGTCGTCGGTCTCATTCCATTTTATTTTATTTTTAATTTATTTAATCATTATGTCCATGGCTCCTTTCCTTGTAATGTCGTGTCTTTAAATGAAAATAGGAAAGAGAGCGGGAAGGCGTGCCGGCCACAGCCCTCTCCTTCTTTCTACTTAAGCGCACAATAGGACTTATATTCCCTTTATTCCTCTTCTCCGTCTCTGCTTTTCTTGTTTTCGAGATCTACGCTTTCTTCTTCTGTTTTTCTGAACTCCATTTCGCAGGAACTCGAACCGTTTCAGGTACGTTTCCGATTCGCTGTTTAACGCTTACATCGTTGGTTTTTTGGAGTTTTGTTCATGCTTTTTTCTGTTTTCGGATCTGCTGTTGTTTTTTCTGTAATTTTTCTGGAGATTTTCCGTTCTGTTTTTGACCAATTTGGGGTATTTTTTTGCTCTGTTTCGTTTGAATCTGCTGGTGATAATCTTCACTGGAACTTCTTGTTTGTGTGTTTTAATTTTCCGTGCAAATTCATATGTGTTATTAGCGTTTGGCAGGGGATGAGGGGTTACAGTTCAGAGATCTGTATTTGTTATTTTTGATTTGTTTGATGCAGAGATTTTTCCATGAAACAGCGAGCTAGAGCTCTGCTTGGACATCATTTGGTTAAAATCTGACTGATCTGTGCGAAGACTTCATTAACGCTTAAGCGCTAAGTGCTATGGAAGATCAGAGTTGTGGTATTGCAGAGTTTTCTGTTTTTGTTTTAGATTCTAGAAATAGTTCTATTTGAAACTTGTGCATGCTGAATATGTCAAACTTCGCACCAAAGTTTAATTGACATTTTAAGTTGCTCTTATTGTGCCTATGATATTAACTAAAAGCAATTTTTAGCTTTTCAGGCAAGAGGTTACTCAAAAAAAAAAAAAAAAAAAATCTAATCTAATTTTTGAGCATGCTTTTTAGGGGAAGTCTGGTGAAATTGATTTGAACTCATTTACAATTTGTTAATTGTAAATTAAGCATGGTTTTCATATCTTTTAATCTCTATGAACGAGGGAAGACTTTGAATTAGTGGTTATGAATTTGCCACAACTTTTGATTATCTTGTATTTATGTGCTTATACTGAAGTTTTATAGTTGAAATATCTTTGACAAAAGTCCACATGATAAAAGCAGCTAGCAACATAGTTTCTAGGACATCCATTTTCATTTCATGAACTAACAGACTCTGAAACTTTGGTTGTTTATCACAGTTATGGCTCCATCAACTGATACTCCAAACAAAGCTCCTGAATCTCACATTACTTCACATCCTCCTCTGAACGAAAGGATTCTTTCTTCAATGACCAGGAGGTCTGTTGCTGCACATCCATGGCATGATCTTGAGATTGGTATGCTATCAACAGAAGTCATGCATTGTTACCTCTTAGTTCCTAATTATTCACTTGTGGACTTTGATGTAAGCCTAATATATATATTATGTTTCTGTCAATTGAACACAGGACCTGGAGCTCCCATGATTTTCAACTGTGTAAGGATTCTAAACTTTATATTTCGTTGAATCAGCAACATTTGCACTCATTAAGCCAGCCTTAAAGCTGATATTTATCATATTCTACTACTAGCTAGCTAACTGCATTACTTGGAATAAAGCATTTGAAAATGTATAAGGAACTAAAGACTAATTCTTCCTTCCTTGCTGTCAAAAACAATGATCGCTTATCAGCTGTAGCTTTTCTCATACATGAGTATTAAATTCCTAAGAGTGGCTGCTAGCAGTTTGATTTCTGTATCATTTGAGTCTAGATTTCATAATTTTTGGAAAGCTGCAGAACAAGTTTTCACCATGAAATGACAGATTTTTAACTTGCACGTGTCAAGGTTGAGTTTATTTGCTTTATAAGCATTTTAAATTTCTAACATGCTTCCTCTTTCTTTCTTTTATGTCATTTGCTTTGGCTTCTTTTAATTATCAATCTTAGGAATGTATACTGAAATTCCCACCTCTTAATAGTAAAATCATCTTGTTCAGCTTTGTAGTTCTTTATCAACTGTCTCTAGTCTCAGTAATTATATGATTATATTAATTTAAGAGAAAAAGCAAAACTTGACCCTTGTTTAATTTAGAAAGAATTGGACATTAGAAAGTTATTCAAAAAAGAAACAAAGGCAGTGTATTATAGAATCGTTCAACCATTGATACAGCACAGTTCTGTTATTTGATATAGGTGGTTGAAATTGGGAAAGGAAGCAAGGTGAAGTATGAACTTGACAAGAAAACTGGACTGATCAAGGTACCCTCTTGTCATTTTGTAGGCTTCCATGTGTTTGCTACCATGTATGGTTTTGAGATTGCTTAGTAATTGGTGCTTATATTTACAGGTTGACCGTGTGCTTTATTCATCGGTCGTGTATCCTCACAACTATGGTTTTATCCCTCGTACTCTCTGTGAAGACAATGATCCTTTGGATGTCCTGATCATAATGCAGGTTTGTTGATTAGTTTATTTTATAATAAGATCTCATTTTCCCCCCCTGCGTGTTGTGGTACTTGTAAGTATGCTTGGACACCTTGTGCATACATCACCTGCACATGTTACACCAGACACAAACTTCTATGTATCTGAGCTCTAATTTCTTTTATTCCAAATTCTGCATTTTATGTATTTCCCAACCACAGGTCCTAATTTCTCTAGGACTTTTGACCATTAGAAATTTGAATTGAAATTAAATTAGGGTCCCAAAATCTATACTTTTAATTAATTACCCTCTAAATAGATTTCATTGACACTGTCTTCCACTCACAAACATTGCCTACATGGTAAGGTACATGGGATGCAGGACCAGAACTTCCTAAATCTGGTCCATTGCTGCATTTCTTGTGCCTTGCTGTACTTTGGATGCACCGAAACTTCCCACGTCTGGTAATTGGCGATCATGTTTCCTGTCTGATAATTGACACACTTTTTAACCTCCACATTTTGGTCATTTCTGGGGATAGGTGCATTGGATAGGATGGTTCTGTGTAGAAAATCCTTTAGGCACTCAATATTTAAAATTTTTGGGGTACCAAGTGACAATGAAATTGTAATATAGATGGGATATGATCCAACTGTCACCTTAGATCAATGGTATATGTTGGTTGCTCAAATGCTTGTTGGTTTTTAAAGGGTTATTCTTTAAATAAATATTCAAAGCTGCAGTTGTATAGTACCATATATATCTAAATGTTCTTCAAAATTTTATAAGGCAACTGAAACACATGCAGGAACCTGTTCTCCCTGGATGCTTTCTTCGCGCTAAAGCTATTGGTCTTATGCCTATGATTGATCAGGTATATGTTGGTTGAATGATAAAATGTTCTCTTCCTCCTCTTGTTTGTTTGTTTAAAAGGAAATGACAAAAATTTTGACATTTTATGAGTGTAGGGTGAGAAAGATGACAAGATAATTGCTGTCTGTGCTGATGATCCTGAGTATCGTGACTTCAATGATATCAAGGAGCTTCCACCACATCGTTTGGCTGAGATTCGCCGTTTCTTTGAAGACTGTATGCTTTCTAAACAATTTTGAATTGTTAGCACACACAAGGCCTATGCAAATGCTCCTTTTTTCTTTTTTTAGAGTGATGCCTAAGTTTTAATATGTTTTGTCTTAATAACATTTTCAGACAAGAAAAATGAGAACAAGGAGGTTGCTGTTAATGAGTTTCTGCCAGCCACTACTGCTTATGAGGCAGTCCAGCACTCTATGTAAGTGATGGTCTTCTCTCCAAACTGTCTAAAATGTGATACCACATGCATGTCTAATCTTTTGAGCATTCTTTTACACCATATTATGTATCTACCAATACTACTATTTTTAACATTATCACTGGTCTGAACATGGATTGACATGCTCATATTTCCAGACAACTCCTATATTTAGATACAAGGTCCACAAGAAGCTGCAATGACCTAATAGGCTAGCTAGTGCTTCCTTTTAATTTATGATGTGCATTAGCTGGTGCGTGCATTGTTTCCAACAGTTTTATATCATTTTCATTCGGCCATTTTCTCTGTTTTGCAGGAATCTCTATGCAGACTACATAGTGGAAAGCCTAAGGCGGTAATTATTTTATGGATTCAGTTAGTGGTCCTTATATACAAGACATAATATAGCTATATATAAAAGTCCTTTTCATTGTTAGATACTCAATCTCCCTGTGCGCCAGTGTACGCACACGATTTGCAAAAAGAAGTCCTTATCATACTCTATGAACTCTCTGTTTGTTGATCATGACAAATTATGCATGATGATGGCGATAATTTTGGATGATCCCATGTAAGGACAAATTGCCATAATCTTTTCATCTGCCCTTTCCTCATAATTATTTAGTTGTATAGTGACAGTTCCATTTGTTGGCATGATCCAGTCTGGGTATACATGTGTTTCCCGAACTGCTTTACAGCTTCCATTACACAGATTGTCATTATACGGTCCTTTTATGCAAGGCATGCTTGAATATTGTTCAATTCTTTTCTTGCCAAATGACCGTATACCAAGATGCGGCTATGGTCTTGCAGCATTTCTTCCCAAAATCTCATTAAAAGTGTTAATTTATTACAAGTAAATTAATATAATAATATTTTACATAATTTAATATTTATAATAATATATAAAATTATTTTAAAAGTAATTATTAAACAATAATATAATTTCTGTGATGGCAAATTCTTATAAAATTATAATTACAACATTTTACAATAATTTTGAATGAGATCTAAAATAGTGAAACAAGCTTGAAACTTTCTAGCATTCTTACTTTGATCCTTACGCTTCTCAGCCACAGCCACCTCAAATCCCATTGTTGTGGCTGATGGGTACGATAAAGAAATTGTGTGGTAAAAAGAGCTGAAATGGGTGATAGAAGAGAAACTTTTTGAAAGAATGATTCGAACGAATGTATTTTCACCAAAAAGAGGGGCCGTGGAAGGATTGAGAGAAGGCTGAATCGGTGGGCTAGGGACGGGCCGCACGCAGGGTGGTACCGTTGTAACTGGGCTTTAGCTCTTTTGGGGAATCTTCTCCTAGGCTTTGTATAATATAAACTTGGGCTTCGGCCTAGTCTGAGACCGTTACCGCATTAAACATCTCTTTACGGAGGACAACATGTAAATCCCTTGACTTCTTCGTTTTAAGGTTTTCGTCCCCTTAACTTTTTAATATGAACATTTAAAGCCATTTTGGACGGAAATTTTGACATTCGTCCACGTCCGTCAAATTTCCCTCACGACGAACGAATAATGGTGATCCTACTTTTTTTGGTTTTTTTAAGTAATGCTTAGTATTTTAGAGTTTAAACGTCTTAATTTTCACTTTAAAATAAGGTTTAATAATTAGCACATATTAATTTGACTAAACTTAAACTCTTTTAAAGTAGCTAATGAGAAGTGATTTTTTAGTATACGTATAAATAATTTATTTTTTATTAAATTAATAAAAAAATTAATTTTAAAATAATCGTTAATTAATTTACAGAAATATATAAATAAATGCACGAATTTATTTAGTTAATCACTTATGAAAGCCCAATTTTTTGAGAATAGAAACCTTTTACCTTATTTTAATTAATATGAATCTCCTTTTAAGGTAACAAGAAATTGTCTTCCATGCCATATATGAACAAAAGATATCTAGAAACATTTTTTTTAAAACAATAATAATAATAAGAAAATAATTTTCCTATAATTTTTTTAAATAATTTTCTTTATTTTTAATTTAAAATCCATTCATATCCACTCTGGCATCCGTGTCATGTGATATTCAAGACATAAAAACATTGCCTCTGCAAATTCCCCCATTAAATTACTCACCAAAAAACAAAATTTACCTACCATAAAACCCCCCCTTTCCGCCGCCACACCCCCCCTTATAAAACCCCTCCAAAGTCTCTGTTTTGCTTACCTGAAAAGCTTTATCCATCTTACTTTCCCGAGAAACAAACAAGCAAACACCATGAATTCCTCTTCCTCTTCCTTCAACAACAACAACAGCAGCAGCAGCAGCAGCAGCAGAAGCAACAACAGCAGCAGCAGCAGCAGCAGCAGAAGCAACAACGCCACCTCCCTCAGCGAGTTTGAAGCTTACGTCCTCAATTCCTTGATTGGGAGCCTCAAAAGTGGCTGCCCTCCCGAAGTCCAAAACAACCCCACCTTTCATGGGATTCTCGCGATGCTTAAGTTCATCCTTGGGGACAAACTTGATCTTGTCCCCGACCACAAGGTTGAGGAGCGTCACAGGGCCCATGTTCTCAGAGAGGAGTGTAAGGTGGAGCAAGAAGTTATCCGGATCATCCTCTCCGGCAACACCGACTCACTGAAGGCCAATTCTGGTGAGGCCGTTTACATTCACAATCACTATCTCTGCATGAACACCCACCACGAGGAGGGTGATGATGAGAAATACCGTGTTTGGGAATGGCACGGCCACATTGTGACTTTTCATCCAAGGAACGGGTTTTCCTTAGAGCATTTTTATGGAAATTACTTTGAGCCCTGGTATGATGTGTTGAGGAGGACAAGAGTAGAGGAACAGGAGAAAGAAAGAACAGAGGAAAAAGAGGAACCAGCGCCGGATATGGGTCTTCGGGGCCTCAATAGCGGTCTTAATGGCACCAACGCTGATGGAATTGTTCACCGTGATGTCAATCCAGATTCTCAAAGGTTTGTTTGAAATTTGAGCACCATTTTCATTTCTCTGTTATGATTTTCATTTTAATTGAGCTTTTAGAATCTGTGCTGGTTCTTCTGTGTGTGTGTGTGTTTATTTTTTTTTCTTTTCTTTTCTCATTCTTTGAGGCTAATGCTAGTGTTTTGAAACTGGATAGCTTTGGTTTGGCTGCATCTAATCTTAATTTGTGCTTTTGCTTATGATTCTGATGCTGTAGTGTGTTTGTACTTTCTTGCCTGCTTGTGATTGATAGAAAAGTTTGGTCTAGTCATTCTCTAATGATAACAAATGTAATTGTTTGTTGACAATATTATTTTTCGAAAGTAATTTGGAGTAGCAACCTTAGTAATTGATTCATGGGGCGGGAAGCAGAGAGCGCAGGTAGGAGCATAGTGTTTTGAATTGTATTAATTTAAACTTAAGGAAAACAAGAGCGGTGGTAGTAGACGTGCCTTTTCTTCTCTAGTACAAAGGTAGCTAGGTAAATAATATACCAATTTGGCTTCAAAGTTCTTGGAAGAATCAATTACTAGTATAAATATTAAATACCAAATCGATAAGATTTTTAACTGAAAACGGAATGTACAGTTTTAATGTAGAATAATCCTAATAAAACAAAGAGAAGTAGTTGGCCCTTCATATTCTGTAGGGGGATTGTTTTGCCTAGGTAGCAAGACCAATGATATACCATTTAAGCTTCTAAAAGTATTCCAAAAATCAATGACTATTATCAATTCCATACAGAAAATGATTTTCAACAGAAAATTTGTTAAAAATCTGAGTGTTGTCTTGGAAATGTTAGTTTGGGTGGGTTAAGTTAAATCTTAATGGATTACGGATCACGTGTTTGGCCTGAATACTTGTCTGATATGGATAATATACATTTTTCAAAGATCCAAGAGTTATGTTCTTACCTGTTAAGATGTTTGACGAGGATTTGTTAGAGTGAACTGTAATGCTAATGTAATGAAGTTGGTAAGAAATATTGTAATGCATTTATAACATGGCTTGATCAAATATTTTGGGCTCTTTCTAGTGTTTTGAGTTTGGAGATCTTTAGTTTGGTTGCGTGATTACGTCTGCTTTTTATTTGTTTAGGATCATGATAACGTAGCTTTGTATTTTAAATAGTCTCTCATGTGTGTGTGTGTGTGTGTGTGTCTATGTTCATGTAATATAGAAGGTTTTGCTCTAATCATGATCAAAATAAATGGAAAGTTATTAAGTTATACTTTTAAGTAGTTTTAGCTTTGAGTAGCAAGAGAAGTAGCATACCATCTGTGCTTCAAAATTATTCCAAGAAAAAATTATTAGTATAAACACCATATAGGAAAAAAATAAACTGATATGTGTTTAAAAATGTGAGGGTATAGGCTTGGAAATTTTGTTTTTCGTAGACAGTATTACAGATTATGAATCAGGCGTCTAAAATGGTTACATGTCTGATCTGGATATTTGCTTTACATTTTCATTGGTTTTTCTATTAATTTAAAAGGCTTGCTGTTTAAAATGTCCAACATGGGTTCATCGTGGTAAAGTGAAGAATCAATTAAATGTGGTAAGAAACTAAGAAATATTGCTATTCATTTCTAACATGATCTTTATGCATTTGCTTAGGTTGTGACAATGTAGCTTTGGATTTTAAAATATGTCTTCTGTCTACATTCATGTGCCTTGTGGCTAGTGTGTGATATGTAGGAAGTTTTGGTCTAATCATTATCTAATATTCTATTTTTAGTGCTACCCTTTTAATGTAGCTTTGACTTTTCAGCTGCAAGATAACTCTATGCCATTTTTTTGCTTCAATGTTATTGCAAGGATTGCGACTGGTATAAATGCTGAATTGTTTTCTTAAAGAAATCTGAAGATATGCTTAGGAAATGGAGCTTTTGGTTGCAAATCTTTGTGTTGGAGTAGAAATGGCTTTGACCAAGTAGTAGGATTGGAATTCATGAAATGGTACAACTATCTTCCACATTACAGGAGGTGTGGTCTAGCCTGTGAAATATTGTCTATGAATTATGATGGTGATAAAACTTTTTGCTTGCTGGTATTTTTGTATTATCTCTGATAAAAGATGATGACCTTTGTTGACTAAGTTTCATTGTTTAAGAAGAACAGATGAACTATCTGAGTGCACATCTACCACTATGTCATAGAGCAATGAAGTAAGCATAAATTGTTGGAATTATGATTGCTGTCTTTGGTGAACCATAAGTCCATTTTGGGTACAACATATGCTTGGGGAAAAAAAGAGTGGTTTTGGGTGAGAGGATTGAGATACTTTTGTTTGATGTTTGAGTTATCAACTTTTTTTTCCCTTTAAAGAAGTTGATATCCCCCATATGACTTAATTCATCATGTTCAATGATAAACTTTAGGGGAGGAAGAAAAGAAAAGAAGAGTGGAATCTCTGGCGTTTCCAGTTCACAACTTCTGAACTTATTTATAACCATGCATGATATTTTTCTGCATAAAAGTTACATTTGAAGTAGTTTCTTGTAGGATAAGTTTGTGATAAAAAAGAAGTTGCACTTGGAAATGATATTGGTTTCCATTAAGATAATAGTGTCATTTCTGTTGAGTGATTCAGATTGAAACAAAATTCATCCTTGGGTTAGTTTTGACTTCTTTCACTGAAATTGGCAGGAATGTTTGAGATGCTTGGTTTACGTTTGGATGCAAAATTTGGCATAACGGAGGAAGGTCACTGCTCTGTTTTGCATTCCAAATTCTCAATTGGATGCTGAGGCTTTTGTTGCTTTATTTTTCACACAGCTCGCTGAGGAGGTCCAGGGGTTCATATGCAGCTCTTTCACAGAACTCAAACAAATATAAAGGGTCTTGGTTTTTTCTTTTTCTTTTTCTTTTTCTTAGACAGAATAACTATATGCACCATCTGTTGGTTTACTTTGTAAATTACAGTTTATTCCCTTTTTTGTATAATAAATGTTGCGTTTGTGAGTCGGGTGGGGAGGGATTTGAAAATAAGAAAAAATTGTATAATCCATAATTAGATGTATCTAAAAAAATAAATAAATGTTGTGTTTGGACCTAATTTCCTGTCTGCTTTAGATTATTTTGGTATAATAATGCTATTTATTTTTTTTGGTACTAATTTCTTAGTATTCAATAATCACATTGGATTTCAACTAATTCAGAATGAAATCGTGTCAAGTCCCATAAAAGAGAAAACTCTCTCAGCGTTTGTTTTTCCATTCACAATACTTAAACTCAAACTCAAGGTCTTTTTTTAAAGGGAATCAAGTTCTTTATGCTTGGATCAAATAATAATGCTATTTTGTGATGCGATTATACTCTCGTTTTTTTATAATATAGGCTTTAGACCTTTAGAATCAAGGTAATTATGGTATTTATAATCACTTGATTTTCCAATTTCCCTCTTTTCCTCCTACTTTAAAATTCAAACTTATAACTAAGGTTGTTAATGAGTAGAGTCGAAGTCTATTATTTAGGTATTTATGTTCAAACTTATCTGAAAAATTCGAGCTCAAAATAGTTAAACTTGTGCTCATACTTGTGACTATTTAAGTGAGTTTGAATTTACTTGTGAGCTTGAACTAATGCGTATTTAAACTTAAATTTGAGTTTTTTTTTTTTTTTTTTTTTTTTATAATTTTAAAAT